CCCCCCCCCCCTCTCTCTCTCTCTCTCTCTCTCTTTCTCTCTCACTACACGCTCTCGCGATTATATTCGCGGTGTGTAATGCGAAAGACAGCGGTGGCTCTCTCGCAACGCCATTCCCATACCTATTTGCGCAATACGAAAGAGCAATAGAGGCGGAAGGGCCGGTTTCGCGTGGCCGGCCAAATCGGAAATCGAACGCGCCGGCTTCAATCTCCGCTGCGAAGAGTACGTTCGCAGCACGCAATGAAACCGATAATCGAGACCACGATGATGACGACGACGACGACGATGTGCGCGTGTGAGAGCCATTATTTACGCCCGCCGTTTCGCACGACGCGTTATGGTTTACGGCGATTGTAGCGCTGGCGATCTTGATAAGGACGCAACGCGAGATTATGGGCCACGGATCTTCCACGAGCGGGCATCGCACACACGGGAGAGATCGGCGTGATGATTTAAACGCACGGCTATTAACGCGTAGCGTGATTTTTATGAATGAAGCGAACCGAGGCGGCTACGCCGCGTGCTCATTGACGTTGAACGCGACGGCGGTGGTGGCGACGTCGCGATATCACTGCTCGACGTCGAAATCGACATTGATCCGGAAAGGACCGCGAATGTCCGCCGATCAGCAACGAACTCGCCGCGTTATCGCCGCTTCGTGTGAACGGCCGGCGTTGGAAAATAGAGTGTTACATAGCGGAGTCGACGGCAGCGGCGATCGGCCATTTTCGTCGCTTTGTTTACGTAGCGGCGTTCAGGCGAGAGAGTGTATGTCTCGTGCGCGTTATTATATAGCCAAGTATATGCATCGCTAAGGGCGCGTAATAAGGACTTATATGCTCACTCGTGCTGTTTTTTTCGCATTTGCTTTCCCTTCTCTCTGTCTTCACCCACACACAACACACCGCTCTGTATTTCTCTCTCTCTCTCTCTCTCTCTCTCTCTCTCTCTCTCTCTCTCTCTCTCTCTCTCTCTCTCTCTCTCTCTCTCTCTCTCTCTCTCTCTCTCTCTCTCTCTCTCTCTCTCTCTCTCTCTCTCTCTCTCTCTCTCTCTCTCTCTCTCTCTCTCTCTCTCTCTCTCTCTCTCTCTCTCTCTCTCTCTCTCTCTCTCTCTCTCTCTCTCTCTCTCTCTCTCGTGCTGTTAGTCTTGTTTTCTTACCTCAAATTGCCAATGCGCCGCTTGTAGCAACTGCTTTGCCTGCTCCCTGGCACAGCCCGCAGCTAGCACGAACTGATTGATCATCACCTGCTCCCGTAGGGCGTCCATTTTTTTTGTATCGGTCACGTTTCGATGTAGACACGAAGGATTACACGGCACAGAGACGCGGGGAGCGTAGGAGGTGCTGACGATCAGGGAAACGGCTAGATGAGGGGACACAGTGGAGAAATAACGCAATAGAAAGAGAGAGAGAGGAAGAAACGAACGAGCGAGAGTGAGTGAGTGAGTGAGTGAACGGAGGGACGGATGTACGTACGTATGCGTGTAGGAAAGAGGGACGGAAGGAGCGATAAACGTCCACGGCACGACACGGCACGATCCTCGACGATCCACTTACGGTCGATCCGTCCGCGATGCGTCTGACCGAGCGCCTCGTCTACGCGGAGCGAGCGCGACGACGACGACGACGTGCGATGGCGAGCGGCGGGCGGCCCCTTGTTTTCAAAACTAAACTCATCGCAGACGGCCGCGACTGCTGCGAGCGCTACGGCCGCGCGCGACGGACGCGAGGAAGGACGGGGTGAAGTGCACCGCGTGTGACGTCAGATCGCGCTACTGCTCGCGCTCGAGAGCCGCTCCGTGCGGCGTGCCGCCCCCACCTTGTTTAGGTACGCTCCGTGCGCCGTGCGCGCTCCCGCTCCCTCTCTTCCCTCTCCGCACGCTCGCGAAGGTTATTTTTGTTATTGTTTATTCGGCAAACATTTACCACAGCTAATGCCGCGATGCAAGCACGTGCAATGACCGTGCGATCGGGAGATAGAATTGGAACGCAATCGCGACTCTGACTCCGATCGTGTGTTCTTGAGGAATTAAATGGGAACATGGTAAATATGACGGACTATTCTTCTTGTCGGAATTCATCATAGTTAATGATTTTACGCCATTTAATCGCATATTTCGATGCTTACAATACGAATATAAGAGTCAGAATTGTCGCGAGTGCAATTGCGAGTGACGGTATGAGGTCCCTAGGATTCCTAACCTATCTAAATCTAATGAACATAAACTTGCACTCTTTCAAGACTTTGTTATTTCTCTCATAACGTAGAATGACAATTTCTGGTTTCACTCTTAGTGTTCAATTACGCAAGAGAAATAACAGCCAAACACAATATTTTCAATCTAGGCTAACTGATAAATCTACTCATTAGTTGCTTTTGTCATCAGTTGTACAGTTGTACAGTCATAAATTGTACAGTGATAAAATAATTACAAAAGTGGTCTCCTATAAGCTAATAGTTTGTTATGATCATACATAGTGTGAATCTTATCATACATATATTTGAAGAAGTACAAAAGATTGTCGTATTGCCCGTTGTATTTCAGATCCAATGGCAAATACGTTTCTAAGTATTCTTCATTGGGAATCACAAAGTCTTGTGTTCTATTTACCATAGAGTCATCTAAATCAGCGTAATTCTCTACAGCACCAAAGGCACACGTATGTAGTTCCACTAAAAATTGATGAATCGCTTCAATTGTTGCCAAGTACCATCTTGGACAGTTCTTTTGATTTCGCCAGAACTGAGAGATCCTTGACTTTAGAACTACACAACGTAGTCCTGCAATATTCCGAGTATCATTGTATAAATGACAGAAATGTCATACAAAAATTGCAAATTCTATCCACGTACCATTCAACCTAGTATCTTTATATATCTCTTTGGTTTGCTGCCATGTGCTGTCTATAAAAATAGCCCTTTTTATAGGAAGCACAGTGTTGATCCTTTCCGTTGTGGTAGGATTTTGGCTCTCTTCATTGTTTGTCTTTTCCCTCATAAAAAGATCCTCCACTCGTATGGCGGTTTTGCTAGGGAAAATTAAAATAGTCTAAGGGATTATATTCTTTAAATTAACAAGTACTCTTAAGAGTTGTGTAAAACTGATGAACGTATTGTTATTCTCTCATACTTCCTCTTTGTCTATCTCAGGAATCTGTGGATATGTGTAGATCTTCACATCCTCTGGTGCCAATATCGCAGCATGAATAGCTGTGCTCTTGCCAGCTATCTCGCGACGATGTTTAACTATGTCTATTTTAATAGGCAACTGAAAATGACAAGAGTGAAGAATGTGCCTCTAATTGTAATTAAACCAACATTTCGATTTTGAAATTATATAGATTGCAACACAAATCGCAACGTACCTTCACTCGTGGAAAATACGTCTGATCAATCACGGGCAGATAACAATGGTAACAGAAGTACTTCCGCGAGGCGAAACATCTCTCGCACGGCATCCTACCCTCAACTTTGTCCAATATCGTGGTATCGCTGATGATCAGATTTCGAAAAGGCGCTTTGTCGATCGTTCTCTGCTTCCTCTCGAGCTCCGAGAGTTCCGCCGCGCATTCCGCCATATTCAGTGGCGGTATCGACGATCAAATTTTTGTTCTGTTTATTTGCAATGAAACGCGCGAGTCACAATCGTTCGAGATTAATGGAACCCTCGAGGATGCCACCAAAATACCGGCATCGTGCGAAAATACAGATGTTAATCACCGCGAAGATTAGCTCGCGAACGACTAGTCCGTCAAATCCGAGCACTTGGCGGCCTGAGTGTACACACCGAGTGATGGTATGTTTACCGCTGACTGGGTAATATCTGATTATCGGCTACTTTCAAAATCAGATATACCCACGGAGTACAAATGTCCAAAGGATTTCTTAAAAACATCCTGGAAAAAACTGGCTGGTCTGCATTATTTCGCGATTTTTTTTTTCTTTCTTTCTCTATCCCTCTTTCCCGTCAAGCCTCAAGTATACGTTGTTCTGTGTCGAGCGTGGAGAGTGTAGCTCCGATGGAAAGAACGGAAGTTGACTTACCGACGTGGCGCGCGCACTTTAATTCGCGGCTCGTCCGCTCGAAGGCGCAGCGGTCCTCCTTTTCGGCGAGTGCCTCGAATCGACGTTTGAAATCGGGAGCGTTCCCGCGAGTTCACACGGTCCTTTGCGAGGATGGTTCAGGCGTTTATTCGCGGTAAATCGTGACAAATAGCGGCGATCGATACGCGAAACACATCCCTCCATATTCGCAGCATTGAAGGTTGACCTCACGTCGGTTTTGATCGTTGGTGAAGCGTGTAATTCGAGGTAGGAGCCCGGCATATTCCGTAACTTGATTTTAACTACCCTTTTCGTCCATCTTTTATATCTTTCCATAGTCGCGGCGACTAACGACACGCACAATTTTCCACGATATTTCTGCAATCCTCGCAGTATCTGTTCACTTAGCAATGACATAATTACGATTTTTTTACTTGTTGAATATCTCGGGGAGACTAGCCAAAAGTCATAAAGCAAAAAGTCATCGATAGAACATTATTATTATAGCACTCAACAACATGTAGCATTTTTTAATATGTAGTTTTTAATGTTGTATCAAAATATCATTACGAATAATCCCAAATAGAATAGAAGAGATTTCTTACTTCACTTTTGTTTTCAGTTGGCGAGGGCATACATACATACACACACATAACATGGCGCAGCGACGACGAGAGAGACAGGGCGAGCGGAAAATGTGTGATGCCGAACGAGGTGCGGGTAGAACGCGGATTTCGATGATGTGGTAAGTTGATAGTCGCACTAATTGAGAAAGTTACGCTCGCTCTAACTTCGATTAGATTATATCACGAGTAACATAGTTATCTCTCGCGACTAAGAAAGCTTTATTTTAAGAGGCAGCGTTCCGCGCGCTTCTCTCTAATATAGAATTTCTTTGAATTTAATTCATTGCTGCTATACCACCGCAGGCTACTGCTGAACTTAATTCACCGTCTAATTACCCGGCGTGGAAGTAAGATAGGGAAATGGGAGGAATACTTTCTATGTGCAGTATCGATAGGAGTTATCGTCGCGAATAAGAATTGATTGAGTCCAATCAAGCAATTGCATAATTGCAGTCTCGCCACATCCCTCCTCAAGATCGGCCTTCCAATTGAACGCTTGTCTCTGCGTCGCGAAAGAAAACTCACGCCCCTTCTTTTCAATATCTCCCTTTCGCCCGCAACTGATGAATAACGGCGATATCCGAGAAAGTAGGCGCTTTATAATTCCGATCCGAGCGTAGCAACCAGGCTTCCTCCGAGTAATTAACGTGGCTATTTGCAAAGAGCGGGAAGAAGAAGGGTTTGGGGGGGAGACGGGGGCGCGATAATGGCGAAGCAAACGATTTTTTATCCGCGTTTGGCATTGGCTCGCGGCTTCTCGGTCAGGTAGATCCCCGGACTACCGTACGTCAGAGAATTTCGAGAGCTCACCTCTTCCCCATTAAGCTGGATGCAAGTCATTCCGCTAATGCAATTAACCGGAACGTGATCGCACGGGATGTGCAATCTGCAGCTGTAATTTACAACGGTAATTTTCTCGCGACCGGGAGCTGTAAAAAAAGAAAACAGGACGATATTATGCAGCGATGAAAATCTCGTTATTCCGGGATTGACTTGTATCGCACGTTGATCTGTATACACAATATTTATCATCGACGAATTGTTTCACAGGCTATCTCTGTGTATATCGACGCTATTTAGAATGCGACAGTCAATCGGCATGTGTTGCAAAGCACGGTAAAAGAATTAATTAATTACTTAATTACCTATTCGCAATAATTGGCTCATACAGATCACTTCTATCTCTATTTTCCATTACTATCTTTGTGGTCACTTTTAGATACGTTAACCTTTAATATACGTTAACCTTTACTTTTTCCAATTTTTTTTCTTTTTCGAGATATACAGCCTTAATTTACATCCGAATAGAACTTCGCTCTTCACGTTTGTGTATGACGTGTGAAAGCTTTAGCTAAATCTGTCTAATATCTTTTGTCTATTTTTCGAGCGACCCCATATGAAAGTACTGTGCGTTGCTACGAAAACACGTTTTCCTCCCACGGATCTCGCGAAACTCGGCATTAGCATGTAATTATATGGACAACTAGTTCTCTCCGTTCCTCTCTTCCTCTCTCTTCCTCCCTCTCTCTCTCTCTCTACTTTGCCTCTCTCACTTCTTCGCTCGATGTGTGTACCTACGCGTGTATTCGCATTAATATCCTCACGCACTTTGTGGGGCGCCGACCGGGCAATCGCAATTTTTCTCCCGAATATATTACGCACGTCATCATCTAAACACGGTCGACTCTCTCGTTCTCTCCTTCCCGTAGTGGCGCGAAACAACGGTGTGTTTAACCGTCAATAACCGTGTCGGCGTGCGTAACGCCATTTACTCTTCACGGCTGGAAAAACAGCCGCTCACGGAATCTAACGTCGTCGTTAAGTACAAATGCGATTTAACCTCCGACACGTCGTCGGCGCGAATTTCTCTACGCGAATTTCAAGTACGTGCCGAGGGATCTCTCGTTCGTAATCTCCACACCTCTCGTCCTCCGTCTGCTGTTTGATATCTTACCGCGGGCAAATGCACGACAATGAGGGTGGCTCGTTTCTCGTGACCAGAGATAAAAGCGATACAGAGCGTAAAGGGATTAGCGTTTGCGCGGAGGGCGATGATCTAAACAAGAGGGAGAAAACGGCGAAATACATTACTCGCAGATCTACCGCGACATTTCGTTTAACGTCAACAACACACGTCAGAGATATTTTTTCGCGTTATTTCACCAAGAGGTAAAATGTTTTACCGCGCGGGGATCGTTCGCTCGCGGAAACACCGACTCTCCACGGCGCGCTTCGATTGTTCGTTATATAACGATTCCGTTATGTTGCGCAACGAACCTTTGCAACTTTTACAACATTTTACGTAACGAATTTTTAATTAACCTTTTCGTAAAATTCGCGAACGCCTTTTCGAGCAGCTGAAAGCTTCGCGATTATTTACAAGTACACGCGAACGGTACGTTCCCGCATTTCCGGGAAATTTTCCACGTGTGAACTTCTGAGCGTAGAATCGAGAATAATGCATCATTTTGACGAATTGCGCGAGATACGTATGAAATAAGTGTAAAATAGAATGCCGCGTACGCGCTTTGCTCATTCGCAAACTAACAGGATCTTTACACGAGGAGCATATTATAGTTTTCTTTTTCTTTCGTATAAATTCTTTTCAATTTTACTATGTTTTTAATAGCGCAGGAATAGACTGTCAGCGAGGTTCATCTGGATATGAAATATAGTAAATTTTGCTAGAAATATGACAAATTTTTTAGCATGTTTCAATTATCCAAATAGCACATATGAGATGAAAGAATAATTACTGCCGAATGTCGATCTGTTTTTCGATTACAAAATTCTGTAATATGTTCACCATAAAATTCACCTCGCGTCAAGGTTGCCACAAACTTGGAAAACCAGGAAATATCAGGGAAAAATATCAAATTTCGTTGTCAAAGTCATGGAAAACCTGAAAATGTGATAGAAATTTAAATTGGTCTTTTGAGGCGTTCTTGCGTCCATTTTTCTTGCTTCCTAGAAGAATTTAAGATTATAACTGAAGAACAAAGAGAATCTGATTTAATAGATAAACAGATTCAGAAGCTCCAAATATCAGTTCTAAAATAAGTAAATTGTCTCAGTCAGTATTGCAAACCATATGTTAGTCCATACATTGCTCATTTTTTAGATAAATTTATGTAATTGTTACTTCTGTTTTAATTTTTAGAAATTAGACTTTATTATTGTTAAATTTGTTCTGGTTTAATTTTAAATATTTATAGGAAAGTAACATGTGATTGTTACTTTTTAGTATATATAATTAAAATATAATTTATCACATTTATTTTCAACTTTCACATAAAAATTTTTCAATACTAAATATGTTATCGATATTACTAAAATAATAAAAATTTATATTTTATTCAATATTTTTTACCACTTCTTTCCTCGTAACTGCATTCTTTTTTGCAATACTTATGATTAATTACTAGTCATGGAAAATTCTCGACTTTTATCTGGAGAATCTAAAAATATTGGGGAATTTTGAAATTTAATTTTCTGGCAACTCTGCAGCGTCCTTATACTTATTCTTTGGTATTCAAATCTTAAGCAAGCTTAATGAAATTACGGCGATATCTTAGCTCCCTTGAAGCTTTATTTGGAGAGAGTTTAACGAAAAATTCGTCTGGAGGCTATCCTACGTCGGAACCCGGCACGCCAGGACAATTAATTCGGACACGACTGTAAAGTAGTTCTCGCATCTCGGCCCGATTGCTCGCGTCTATCGGTCGAATCGATCCACTCGTCCTTCGTTTCCATTATGTGTTGTTACCGGCGCGACTCGAAACCGGATGCCACGGATATTCGTGCGAGAATGCGTGCTCTCGAACGCCTGCGCGAAATGCGGAAGATCTTTCGAGCAGGCTTTAATAGAAAAATACTCGACTCGATGTTCGCGTTTTGTATCAACGATCAGTGCGTTGGCCGGTCGGTCTTTGTTCCGTCGAA